TGTCATGTGGACACTGAGCAGGGCCAAAATTACGAGACGCCAGGCAAATATCAGGGGAAAATATTGCTTCTCAGAGTATATTTAGTTCTGCCCAAGGACCAACTGGACGGTTTCCTGACGCTTGACAATGGCAGTGGATTTACGGGCTGATCCTTCATGATAGGCCTATTGCTTCTAACCTGTAAGACGGCTCCCAAATTGAGAAAATAGGGTGAACATTCATACTAGGCACTCTATAGATGGCATAGTTGCGTTCCTAATTGATGCCTCATGCTAGTGATAAGATAATCAGCTCGGGACTGAACAGCTGCGATAGGATTGAGAATTTCAGTTTCGAGAATGATTTATCGGAGTGAGGTCGAATGTCCGTAAAAGAGTTCCCACTGGCAATGGTCCACCAATGCTATAGTACGAGCGTAATATGCCGTTGACGCATTCCTGTGAATAAGAAGTTAATGATAAATAGATTTTTCCATCCCTGATTTTGCAAGTGTCGAGATAAGAGAGAAGAGGGTTCGGTTCTGATACTTATTTTTAGAGTTCGTCGAGCTGATGTAAGCAAACGTCTTATATAATCACAATCCCACGAGGAGTGATGACTGTCCTATCGACAAAATCGGAACTCTCCATCATCGGTCTATACTTTGCCCTCAGAAGTATCTACTGGCGGACCGTTCTTGAGTACCTCCTCAGTGATATATCCTTCCTTCCAAAAACTAGAACTTCACCCCTTGGAATCGATGGCCTCGTTTTTGTTCAAGGGCCTTTAAAAGCTAAATATATAGCCATCGATTGTGAAGAACGCTGATGTTAACTGCTAGGGAAATGCATCTTGTAGAAGCATCTTGAAAAGAAGAATCTAAAGCCTAGGCCTAGATCTTATGGGTGACTTTCAAAGCCGATCAAGACCCAATTCAGACTTTCTGAATTGACCTTTGCTGCCCAATGAGTTGCGTATAAAGTTCAAGGCAGCCCCGCTTCCAACTCCCCGCTTCATCACTAAGTTTCATTCACAAACCTATTATGGCTACGACATACGGCAATAATCACGATGCAGTTGCTGCATGGTTCCTTGGTCCACATGCGGAGAACTTCGATGTACTCGAAAACATTTTCCGTAACGTGTTGTACGAACAGGAGAAAGCCAGAACTTCCTACTTCCCAGACGACGACAATTATATCACACCTTCGATAAAGGCCACAAACCTTTTCCAAAGTACGCTTTTTCTCGTGATTTTATAGTTTTATTCAAGGTCCTAATCGGACTTTCCATTTACCAGAGAATATCAGCAAACTCAAATATGTTATCAATCAACTCGCACCAAGGCTCGCCCAGCACTCTATTCCATTTTGGAATCCTCGCTACAATGGCCACATGAATATGGATACCACGATGCCTGGAATGGCTGGTTATCTTATGGGGATGATGTGTAGGTTCCGCCAACGTTGTAATATGCGAGGACCGTTTTGAATCGCTTATTTTATTTGCAGACAACCCAAACAATGTCGCGACAGAGGCCTCACCTTTGACGACCGTTCTCGAGTTGCACGTTGGCGTACAACTTTGCGAGATGGTGGGACTGAACACAAACGTCACCAAGAAGCCCGTTGGTTGGGGCCACATTACATGTGGTGGAACTGTTGCTAACCTGGAGTCGATGTGGGCAGGTAACGTAGTTATTTGCCGCGTTTCAATATTGCGTGTTGTTTATTTTGGATCAAATCAGCGCGTAATCTCAAATATTACCCTCTTTCTCTCAGACTGGCAATGAAAACAGGCGGCCCACTCGAATTCATAGCCGACAGATTTAGCCTCCCAACCTTCCAAGAATCATCCAACAGCGTTGTAACGAAGTTGTTGAAGGATTTCTCGTCCTGGGAATTGCTGAACATTGCACCGGATGTGGTTCTCGACATCCCAGATCGATTACGACAACAATTCTTTATTACGCCCGCGTTCCTCCAAACGGCTTTGTATGAGTATCTCATCCAGACTATCGGCAAGGATTCAAATATGTTCCGTGAATTCGAGATCGATCCCGACTTGGGGCCGATTCAACTCAACAAGATGGTCTACTTTGCCAGTGCCGCGAAACACTACTCATGGCCCAAAGCAGCAGGTAAGACAAATCGTCATTACAACTTTTGATATTCTTTCTGAAGACAAATAGCTGTTACCGGGATTGGTTCCGACAACTTTATCGATATTCAAGTGGACAATGATGCTCGCCTTGACATAAGCGATCTTAGAGCACGTTTGGATGAGTGCTTGCGTTTACATAGGCCCGTTTACACCGTTGTTGCAATTATTGGATCCACGGAGCAAGGTGCATGCGACCCTTTAGATAAAATCGTCGAATTGAGAGACGAAGTGCGTTTCCATTGGCAGTTACTCAATTTATTCTCTTTTTGCTTACCTTTTTTTCCCTTTAGTTTCGTACAAAGGGCCTCAGTTTCGTCCTTCATGCTGACGCAGCTTGGGGTGCCTATTTTTGCTCAACCCTTCGGTCGAAAGGGCCATCAGTTCCTATGCGCTTTGTTCCCTCTATAACACTCAAACCTTCAACCGTAAAAGCTCTTGAACATTTACCCGACTGTGATTCGATAACCATTGATCCTCACAAGAGCGGATATATCCAGTATCCTGCAGGAGGTTTACTCTACCGTGACCAGCGGATGAGGTATCTAATCACTTGGACAAGCCCTATCGTGTATAGAGGCGAGCTTGAAAACATCGGAGTGTATGGGATAGAGGGCAGGTGAGGACTTTTGAACTGCTATGAACGCGTCCACTAATGATATTTACAGTAAACCCGGTGCTGCGGCCGTTGCTGCTTGGGTTTCACATGAAGTCATTGGACTTCATCAAGACGGATACGGCGCTTTACTCGGGGAGGCTGTTTTCAGCTGTGTCAAGGTGGATTCAATATTTTCCCGTTATCATAATGACGCTCAAACAATCATTAGATGTATGCTCACCTTGCAACCATGTCAACCGATCAGACCGAGTTCATTGTCGTGCCTCTGAACGCACTTCCTACCAATGTGCTCCCTGTAGGAATCGACCTGAAGGAGTTCATCCGAACCCGTATTCTCCCAGTCAGCAACAAGGAATTAATTAAAGATAACGAGGCAATGAAGTTGATCCAGGCCATGGGATCTGACCTCGCCATCAATGCATTTGCTGTTAACTTCCGCCTTAATAATGGCAAAGTAAATGAAGATGTGGTCGAGGCTAACAATCTCGGTGAACGTATCTTCGAGAAACTTTCTGTTTCAAGTGTCAGTGATCGCATCCAGGACAGACCTCTTATCCTCACGTCAACCCGATTCTCGAAGAAGGGTTATGGGAAGTGCCTGGAGAGCCTCAAGGAGCGTCTAGGCTTGAACTTGAAAGACGAAAGGGATCTCTATGTTTTGGTCAATGTGGTTATGTCACCGTTCCCTACCGACTTCAATTTCACCCAAACAATCGCTACATCTCTGGAAAGCGTCATCAAGCAAGAGGTCGATATATCCAAATTTCGGAACACCCTTACGCCCGATTTTCACGGTTTTGTCATGCAAGGAACTGATAAACTGTACCTCGTACACCTGCCTATGTTTAACATGGAGAATCATCGCTTCCAGTTGATAATCACCGGCGATATTCCTCAAGATAAAATGGATCAGTATAAGAAGGCTCGAGCCGCTTCTCCAGAGAAATTCTTTACTCTAGGAACTGCCAACAGAACAACCCTAGAATCGATCTTACGGAGAAAGAAGTTTAGCGCTGTGATTGATAAAGGCCTACCCCCTTCCGACGGGTAAGCCTTTGATTCTTGATATGTTTTTTTTTTTTACAAGAACTGAAAATATTACTCTCAAGGACACATCTTATCACAGACTTCGAACTTTCCAATATAGAGGTCATTGTCAAGCGTCCTCTTGATTCGATAAATCTACAAACCAAATATCCACAATACTCAATGCCATTCTATCTCTATGGCACCAGTGATCAGCTTCATATCGACCACATTTTGTTCACTTCTCCCAACACCCAGCTGAACTCTGACCAGGTTAAGCTGGAGATTGTGGGACAGCTTCCCGCCTATCCAGTTTGCTGTCGCCTCCAGCTCCCCGAACAAGCCATGCAACCCTTGCCCTCGAACAACGGTATGGCAAGTGACAATAATTTCTTCTTCCGGCCCCGCGTCACGTATGACGTCGCCATCTTCAAGAACATGGAGCTAAATGAGGACGGTGAAACCCCCCTAGCGAAAGGGAAGCTTACATTGGGTGACTCTGTCTTCACCGACACTGATATGCTTAATGAAAACCCACTTCCTTCTGCACATGCTCACGGTGATGTCACGTTCTTCTAAGCGCATCATCACAGATGACTTACACAGTTTATTTTCACCAGATATAGAAGCAAATGGCCCTGAGGAAGCTGGTCCGGTCGTGCGCAATCGTGCACCCACGATGCCTGAAAAGCGAGCTGCTGTCAGCAAAGAATGGCAGGATTTGGCTGTACGTGTTTTACTATATGATGAATATTTCAATCAGCTTACACACGCCACAGAGTTCTTTTGCATATCTAGCATAAGCGGATGGAATATGCTTGTGGCGCACAGATTGAAGATTGAAATTGTAGTAGTATCGTCAACTTGAACTTGAATAAGAAATTTGTGTACGAACTTCAGTAGTTAAACCTTCCAGTTTGGCTGCAGTTGGTCCTTCTGATGTATCTCTACACGCTGTCCGTGCTTAAAGCAGACATGACTATAGCCAGTCAGGCTTCAAATATTGCTAGAAAGGAGGTTTCTGATTAGTTCTATTCCTATAAGAACGAACGATCCTTACTTTGTAAGACTTGTCAATGTAATAAGCATAAGCAGCAAGGGGTTGATCGAAAATGCCAGGGGTTTTTGGACGGCTGTGCTTAGGGTGAAAAAAAGTGAGCACTCACATCGTTGGCGCCTGCAGGTACCTCGAGGTAAAAGAACTGTTTGCATTGATTCCTTCTAGCCGATTTGAACGACTGACCTCGTCATTACTAGTGACGCGCTCTACCAACTGAGCTAAGAAGGACATATCTTCTGTTAGCTAATCTTATTTATAACCCTAATAAACAACAAGTTGAACATTGAACACGAAATGTCGGACGACCTCTACCTTTGCCACTACCAGCGATGCTAGTGCCTCCAAATAAACTCAAGAAATTTACTCACCAAACTCTCACAGGCGTTACCATGTCAAAAGACGTAATGCGCCAGCCTGAGGGTGGATCTTTGAATACTACTCCTACCAATGTTAGTCGAGTACCAAAGCCATTAACAGCGATAGAACAGTATTGGGCGACACGCGCACTCAAAGCAGAAGCCCTCCTCGCAGCTCAGGATAACCATAGGAAGGAATTCAAGACCATGGAACACGTACAGGATATGAAGCGAGAGGTACTTTCTTAGGATGTCCCCAAGTAATATTGGGGTTGACGAGACTACAGCGCGAAATGACTATGTTGGCCAGACAATATACAGAAAAACAGGCGTCTTGGGAGAGACTTCTGGTAAACAACATATCTCTTTTGTGTCATATTTCAATAACCATTTATTCTGGGTTTGAGCAGACTTTCTTGTTGTGCCTCATTACCCTTCTTATACTGCTCATCGTCTACCTCGCAACGCATTACACACGTCATTCGCTTCGCATGCAAATGAATGAACGGAAAACGTGGTGGTCCGCAGTCGGTGCTTCGCACTTCACTATCCCTATTCTTTCACCTTTTACCTCTGTGGTGCGTCTCCTTTCATTCATCAAATTAGTTAGAGGAGTTGACTGACGTACTGGCTTGTCATCTCAAACACTCTAGGTCGAGCAAGAAACATCTGTCATAAGTCCAAAATTAATTGGCACTGTCGCCGCTATCGCTGCCTGCCTAGCTTATATGGTTTTCCGCCATTGGCTTGCCAATAAGATGAATGGCCGATCTGCTGTTACTGCAAAACTTGGGGATGTAACTACGCGTTATATTGATCGATGATCGATATATGAACCTTCATTCTCCAATCCCGATGCACATTGCATAGGCCAAGCTGGATCTCAGTCACTCGTATCATCTAGCGACGAGCCCTTTGCTGCATGCCACTAGGCTCCGGAGCTCTACTCGCACAGAGACAGGATGTCCAATATCAATACCTGAGGCGCCGTTGAGGTCTTGGTCGCTACCTTGAGACACGACCTGCGGGGACTCAATCTACTACTAGCCACCTATCCTGTTCCTGCTGAACGCAATATCACAACTCCTTCTGCTTCATCTTGCTTTCACCTCTCGTATATCATGCGGATTCCATCTTAGAAAATACCTCCAGACGACACTTATATCTCCTTCTCCAACAAGCATCATATCATCATCCTACACTTTTTCTCAGCATCGCTTTCACTCAAGGTGGCCATATTTCTGCTAGACAACCCCTACTATCACACCATCGAAACCTCTTTTCATTGAAGCTACACAATAACTTTTGTGCTCAACCTCAATCGCAAATCCAAAGCGATACGGACACCGGATTTGTTTTTTAACATTACTCCTACCACGAGCTATACCGATTACCCGCGTGTGGCTCCGAATAGTTTCATGTCCTAGATATCATTGAAGACTCGTACCAGCAAAACGAAAACTCGCTACAATTACAATCTTGTACATCCGAAATCTGTCATCTTTAAAAGTTGAAAACAAGCAGCGCTAGACCCCGTAGCCGATCTAGTACGCCTGGTGCCTTTGGGCACACGAACCTTAGACAAGGAGTATACCGCCCAGTGCCTATCATTGAGATCATTGAATACGAAATCAATGAACGTAATTATAAGATATTCATTGTAAGAGTGCCCTTGGGCATAGAGTTTCTGCATATAACAGATAGGATGCTGACATCGTTTTGGTTGACTTGGAAGATAGTAGTCCAATTGAAAGCCCGAGTAATTAACAAGATAACACAATGTTGGTTAGGGTGCTCCTTTCGAGCCATTCTTTTCGGATCCAACCCCTCGGGAAAAAAACGGCCATGCCAAAGAGCTAGTACAAACTGAGTGCAATGGAATCCCGAAAGTGGGGGCCTCAGTACGTTACAGTTCGACGTCAATACGTCTCTCTCTGTGTACGAGCCCCAATTAAAGAAATGGGATTTTGTCAATTGTCAGTTATCTTCGCAAGGCGGCTTATGTTGTCGTCTTCCCCAAGTCAGTTGTGCGCATTATTTCGGTTCCTCTCGAAAGCGCCGCATAGTGGCCAATGTTTTCTGCCTCATCTCTTCCGTTTCGTAATTGATAAGAAGTGGGTGAACCTGTCGATTTCGGACCGACTTGTCACGTGAAAGAAAGTCCGATAATGCCGGGCCGTTCAGTTTCGTACGCGTTGCTATGACTTGTTTACCAAAGGCCTTCAAATCAAGTGGCAGGTACCTTTAAGCTTCGTTTTCCTTTGTCTGTTCTCCTCATTATTAAAGCCATTTTTAACGTTTAGACACGTTTCATGATAATGCAAGCACAATACAGACCTCTGCCATACGCACGGCTTAACACTTTTCACGGACCTAAACGACAGCTGCTCGGAAACCAGGCAGGGCAAGCGCCTCCTTCATGGAAAACGTCCGCGTCTGTTGCCCCAGGCCAAGTCCATGCCACATCGGTTTCGAAGGGGAAGGCGGCGCAGGAACAAGGGAGTCGAATATTCTTGAGTAGGTTGCCTGTTGATGTAGGGGAGAAGGACGTCGAGGTTAGCGCCCGTTGCCACTCAAACACGCTACCTTTACTCATTTCAACGGCATCCTTTTAGGAGCTGTTTAGAAAGACGGTGGGACCGCTGAAAGAATCATTTTTGGTGTATAACTCGCAGGGCAACTCGAAAGGCATGGCGGTGGTTACATTTCAACGTCCGGGGGATGCTCTTGCTGCTCAAGCAAAATACGATGGGAAGATTGTTGATGGACGTGAGTTAGATTGACTCTGGACCGTTTGCTTTCTTAATGACTACGGTTATGGTCAGGCCGCCCAATTAAAATTGAAATTATCTCAGACGGCGCACCATCACAAATCCCTCGAGGGCCTCCACCACCGCCAACACTTTTGAATCGATTGTCGCCTGCAAATACGATGACAATAAGACCACATACAGAGAAGATAAACCCAGGGCCTAGTCCTGTGACGCCAATGTAAACTTGTCTTTCATCTGTTTTCTTCCGTTCTTGACGAATGATTTAGAGCTCCACGTTCCCTTGTGTTTCAACCTCGAGTGGCAGTCAAACCTGCACCCGTACCTCCACGGAGAGTTCGTCAAAAGAAAGGACCAAAACGACTGAAGAAAAAGACTATTGATGATCTAGATAAAGAGATGGAGGATTATCGCGCAGCTGCTCCAGATCCTGGTCTGTAACGACAATGTTATCTGGTTCGTTTTATTGCTCACTGTTTCCAAGTTGAATTTTTGATATAAGCATACCATATTCGTCTGTTGCTACTCGTTCTCGCAGTGCTTTATTATGAAATTGCTGTTTGTTTAGAAACCCCTTATCTTATCGAGGGGAAAATATTATGTAATTATTCACGGGCATCCGTCACGTCATTATCAGTCGCTTCTCCATCGACATCGGACACACTAGATTAAACATAGCCGCCTTGATAATCGTTTCTTGATTAACCTAGAGGCTTACTTTAGATTTTCTGCTAGGATGGTTGCGCCTCTGTACACCACCGCATCGGGGCTTCTGTTTCATGCTGGAAAGATTCTAGTCATCACAATTGGACTTCCAGCACGAGGCAAGACTCATATCTCTCGAGCTCTCGAGCGATACCTGCGATGGATGGGAGTCAAGACGCAAGTTGTGTCTTTGGGCGATTATAGACGAAAAACCATTGGAGGAGCACAACGGCTTCCACCGGATTATTTCATACTAGGTGCTGTATCTTTCTCTTCCGATCTACTCCGGCTCCTTTTGCTGATCTTATTTTGCTTTTCGCAAGTAGGTGAGAAGAGTGCGAAAACGATCGCCTTGCGCCAGAAAACATCAGATGGATGTGAGCAGCTGATTTGGGATTTCTTTGAGCATGGAGGGCAAGTAGTCATATATGATGCCAATAATGGTACAAGAGCTATTCGTCAGGCCATCGCAGAGAAATTTGATGCAGCTGGGATTCATGTCGTTATGCTTGGTATGGCATCTTCATTTCGTACCGTATAAATGACCCCTTCTGATGTTGATTTTTGTATTCCGCACAGAGTCCATCTGTGATAACAAGGAGATAATCGAAACAAATATTCGGAACGTTAAGATCTCTTCACCGGATGTATGGGCTTTCCTGGTGTTATACTCTTGTTTTTCACGTTGAACTGACCAAATTTGTTTTGTAGTATAAAGGATGGGACCCAGATAAAGCTGTAAAAGACTATTACCAACGGATCCATGGTCATGAGAAGCACTATGAGACGGTGGAAGAAATGACGTGGCCTTTCATCCGGATTCTTAATGTAAACAAAATCTATTTCTCACTTTTGAATTGAATTATTGAGACCAATCCTTAGGTCGGGGAGAAGATTATATTGAACGTAAGTTGATTTGGATGTCGGTTTGAATTCATGCTCATCGTTTGTCTTTTATAGAATATCCAAGGCTATCTTCAAGTGAGCAAAAGTCAATGTCGCAATGTCGCGGAAGGACTGAACTGTCCATTGATCGTCTGTAGTCCCGGATTGTTTTCTTCCTCATGAACATTCACAACAGATTCCGAACAATCTACTTTGCACGAGTAAGTTTGATGCCATTCTACTTGATGTCAATCCCACCTTGAACGTTCGGTAATATTTTGTGTAGTCCGGCCAATCTTTGATTGAACACTCCTATAAAGCAGACTCGGACTTGTCTCCTGCAGGCTGGGACTACGCTGAGAAATTGAGAGATTTCGTACTAGAGCGACGGGCGAAGAGTCTTGAGCAGAGAGGATTGGATCCCTCTAAGAGAAAGCTCGTGGTATGTTTGTGTAACTTATGAACCAAAATTAGAGAGATACTGAAGTTTAGTTGCCATCTATAGATCTGG